GTGATGAGGGAAGCCCCCTCCCGTTCCCTGTTCAGCTGTTTTTTATGGTAGGGCGACGGCTGCAGTCGAGGCGCTGGAACAGAAGGAGCATTCCGGATTCGGGGGGGGGGGGGGGAGCTCGCTGTTCCTTGTATCTTTGCATGGGCGCTCCTTGTGCGCCCGGGCGCTCTTGAGGCCAGGAAAGGGGTTCCGTTCCTTATCTGGTATTCCGCATGGTAGTTGGTTGGCTGTAAGTTGTTGGCGCCTTCCCTGTCCCAGGGCGACCTGGAAGTTAATACCCCCACGTGCCGCCGTGGCGGGAGAAGATTCCTGGCCGCCCTGGGGCAGGCGTTCTCCGACGGCGGAAAGTTCATGCGGAAAGTTCATGTTGTGCCGTTAGTGTCCAAAGCTTGTTAACACAAGTGATGACCCCCCTCCCCCCCCCCGAGGATCCCGACTGCCATTCATTCGCGCCGCCGAATAATTCTTCGTGTAGTTGTCCCCCCCCCCCCGTAACAATATTCCACGGAGACCGCTATGAGATTGGGGGACATGGCTGGTGGCTCCCAGGACAGCTGGAATGTTGAGAACCTTGTAGCTCTGCCTCCCAAAGCGGCTGTCGAACCTGAGCGAAATTGGGTATTCTCGGGCTCCCCGTCTCCCTTGTGAGGTACATTGTGGATTGTCCACCCCGCATAAAACCCTTCACCGAAGCGCTGTCGGGGAGCATTCCGTTATCGGTTCGCCACCCCATCGCAGAAATGAAGGATTCGGTTGTGAGGAATGCAAGTAGTTTCGCCTTCGTGCATACCCCCTACACCCCATGGAGGAATGGAGGAAGGATATGGTAGCGAGTCATAGTTTCACCACATCACAAATGTAAGTTTCAAGTTTTGCCGCGTCGCTCCGATCCAGTTCAGGTGAGACGGGGCAGTGGCTCGAAAGGTGGACACATCAATAATGCAAGTTTTCAGTCTTGCCTCGTCCGTCACATCCCGTAGAGGAGGGATGGGGCAGCGGGTCGAAGAACGCCCAAGTCAAGCATGTGTTTTCACATGATGTCCCCACGCTCCCCAGACTCCATGGAGGAGGGGTAGGGTAGTGGTTCGAAGCACGATCAAGCAAGAATGTGGGCTTGCATTCTTGCTTCACCCCCCGACCCCCGCTGGGGATGCACAGGGTAGCGGGTCGAAGGGCGGACACACCAAGAATGCACGTTTACATTCTTGCTTCGGCGCCCAAGCCCCGTGGAGGAGGGATGAGGTCGAACAGCGCGCAACTTACGCAGGCCAACGTACATTCTTGCTTCAGCCCGTTAAGCCCTGTGGAGCAGGAGCGGGGCGGCGGGGCGAAGGACGGAAAAGTTAAGAAATCAGGCTCGCTTGTTTACCTCGATCCCCACACTCGGTGGAGGTTGGATACGGTAGTTGATCGAGTCTCGGGCGCATCAAGAATTCAAGGTTGCATGCTTGCCGCGACCCCCACAACCCGAACCACAAAGAGGAGGAATAGGGTGGCAGGTAGAATAACCAACACATTGAGAATGTAAGGTGACATGTGTGCCTTGCCCCCAACTCCCGTGGAGGAGGGATAGGATCGTGAGACGAAGGACGGACACATCAATTCGCTTGCATTATTGTCTCGCCCCCCGAACCTCGTGGAGGAGGGGGACAACTCGTGGGCCGAAGGACGGGCAAAACAAGAATGTTCAGTTCACGCGTCGGCCTCGTCGCGCCGAACTCCAGTTGAGGGGTGTGCCAACGGACGAGCACATTAACACTGTAAGTTTGCTTTCTTGCTTCGCCCACTCCACCACCAATAGAAGGGATAGGCTAGCGGGTGCAGGGGCTCTCCAGATCTTGCCAAAAGCTATTCGAAGATGGACTGCTCCATGCCTCCTCCTCTTGCGCCTCCTCCCCGCCCTCCTCCTCATCCTCCTCCTTTTCCTCCCTGCTACTCCTCCTCCTCCTCCTCCTGCTGCCGCAGGGGATGGTCGCCCATTGCGTATCTGGCCCGGCAGGCTCCAGGGGACCCGCGAGAAAGCTCATAGGGTCCCGGAGACGCTCCGAGGAAGTCCCCGAGAGTTTCCGAGAGGTCCCAAGATACCCCCACGATGCCCCCCCAAAGGCTCCAAGAGACCCTCAAGGCGCCCCATTACATGCCCATGCAAGGCTCCCGAGAGACCGGCAGGAAGCCACGCATTCCTTACGAAATTCAGGGAGGCATCGTCGTTCTTCGTCGCGTCCCGAGCATTCTCCAGCCCTCCAGCCCAGCGAGGCGGAGTGATACTCTATCCGCTTGCAGGGCATGGCGTATCGCAGATGTCGCCATCGCGACATGCTAAGCAAACGTTTCTGACTGAGGGCAGGCTCGTGGACCGATGATGATCTGATGATGATGATGATGATGATGATGATGATGATGATGATGATGATGATGATGATGATGATGATGATGATGATGATGATGATGGTGGTGATGATGATGATGATGATGATGGTGATGGTGATGATGGTGATGATGGTGATGATAGTGATTTTGATAGTGATGAAGATGATGAGGAGGATGATGCTGATGGTGAGGATGATGATTCGACTGACGAGGATGACGGCTTACATGACAACGAAGAGGATGATGATGAGGAGTATGAGGAATATGTTTGAAATCAGGAGGTGAGTGAGGATTAGTACGACTGTCACGCGCCTGTGCTTGATAGCGCTGCCCAAGATCTTCCAACGTCCCCCTTGCCTGGGCTAGAACCTGAGCGCGCGCGAAGCGCGCGCGGTGGTTCTAGTACATATATATATGTGTATATATATATATATATTCCTATTCTTATATTTTTATTATCCGGACCCCGCCCCCCGGACCCCCCCCCCTAAACCGGATCCTTCCCCCAGGGACGCTCCGGACGCCCTTTCGGACGTTTCGGCGGCCCCCTGGACGCCCTTGGAAAAGGTTCGGTGGCCCTTCCGGGCCTCCCAGGGCGCCTCGCTGGGCCTTGCGAGCCGACTGAAGGCTATTAGAGGGGTCGTCGGAGAGGCGCAAGAGAGACCCAAGACAGCGCAAGAACGCTCCAAGAGGAACCTCGACGGTCTGAAGACGGCCCAAGAGGCCCCCAAGACACCCCAAGAGGCCGTTAAGAGAGCCCCGAAGAAGCCAAAATCGTCACATTCCCTCAGGAAATACATTTGTTGTGCATATCCGCTTTTTGGGTCTTCGCAGCGTCCAAGACGGCCCAATGGGCCCCCAATCTCGCCCCAAGACGGCCCGGGAGGCCCCCTAGAGGGGTTGAAGGCGGCCCAAGGGGGCCCCAAGACTGCCCCAGAGAGCCCCGAGACTGCCCACAAGAAGCCCAAGATGCCCCCAGAAGGCTCCCGAGAGAGACCCACGAAAGCCATGGGATACCTCCAAGAACGCCACTGGAGGCCCGCAAGAGGGCCCTAGATGGCTTCAGAAGACCTCTGGAGGGCCCCAGCTCCCCAAGGCGGCCCAAGAAGTCCCCAGGACGGCCCAAGAGTGCCCCAGGACGGCACAAAAGAGCACCACAAACGACCAGACGGCGTTCTCCTACGAAATACATCAAGCTGACCCGACGATCTTGGTTCCACGTTTGAGGCTCGAGGTTTCAGTAGCTACCCGATCGAGAGAGACAGGCAATGGATCTAGATTCGGAATTCGACGATCGAAGATTTCCTGAGTGCCTGGAGCCCTCCAGGCATTCGGGAAGCGATCAAAAATCGATGTGTTGGAGCTACTGTGACTTCTTCGGCGTGTCATGGGAACGCTCCTTACTTCCTCAAAGGACCTTCGCGCGCGAAAAAATCAGCATGATTTCCCCACTCCTGCGCACAAGCGTGCCAGCGCATCGTCCGAAAGCGGTGTCAGCAGGCACCCGGGATATCGGAAAAATGGGCGGGTCGCCCGTCCAGGCCTCAAGGTCCTCCCTGCTGAAGAAAGCGATGATTTATTGCTTTGCCACGGAAGCGTCCGGAACAAGGCGCATGGCGCGAAGCGCCAATGCAGTCTTGTATATATATATATATATATATATATATGTGTGTATGTTCGTGTAGGCACATGCACTTGTGAGGGTGTGCCGTCTCTGTTCTTGCCAGGGACGCAGGGCAAGGCTGGCGCGGCGTTTTCTCAGCACCAGCGACGGTGTGCATGGAGTGGTCCCTGAGCGCGGCTTCGATCCACTCCAGGTCGCAGGGCGTGTCAGGTGTAGCACTTGTCGCGATTCAGAATGTGTGCGCAGGGGTTTGTCCCTGAGCGCAATCTCTATCCATGCCAGTGTCGCAGGGCGTGGCAGGCGTGGCCTGGCGCCAAGAGGGGGTGCGCAGAAATCTGCCCCTGAACGCGGAGCGCTAGGGCGGTCTCGGGGACGTCCCCGGCCGTCTGGTTTGCCCCGCCTTACTTTTGTTTTCTGGAGTCGCAGTACAGCAGTGGGGAACAACTGTTTGCTTCATTGTCCTCCCAGGTTTTTCTCATTGTTTTAGACATTGCATGTCCGCTGACAGGCCAGAGAGCTCTAGGATGAATTGCGGGCAGTAGCCGTTGTTTAGCGTGTCGCGCCGCCGGTTCTGGCCCACCACGATCCAGCGCGACACGCTAACCACGCCTCCGTCCCTGTCAACGTTCCGAGCTTTTCGCAGCCTCCCGTCCCGGAAGAGCGACATGCCATCAGCTATCGAGGGGCGAAGCTATTCGCATACCTTCGTGCACGAAAATGCAGAGTTTAGAACCCACTGTGGCTTCGACATGTACGTCGACCACTGATCGACTGCGCTAAAGCAGGGGCCGCCGCCGCGACATTCTGAACAACAGTTGGTGACCGCGTGTTTCTAGGCGTCTGAAGTAGGGTCCGAGCAAATGGGGTCGAAAGATCGATCCGCATCACCGATGCAGCGGCGATGCGGCTCGATGCGGAGCCCGCTATTCTCGACGCGGACGTCGCCGCTGCATCGCCGACGGCGCCGAGGCATCGCCGATACACCGAAAACGCATCACCGATGTATCGGCGATTCGGCGAGATGGCCTCGGACCCCATCTATTCCGACCCCATCTAGGAGGCTTCCGATGTCTGGGGGCGAGGGCCCCGCGCGCAGGCGGCTCGTCGACGCGCCTTGCGGGCCTTCGCCAGGGGCGCGGCCGGCGTGTTTTACTATGGACCCCGCCTTGGCGGCGACCTCCGCCCAGACCCCGCCTGGCGCGCGGAACAAGGTTTTTCCAGTCCATTCCCGTCCCGGCTATCGAGCAGTTTTCTTTTTGACTCCGTGTTCCAGCAAAGACGGATTGAAGGAAAGCGAAAAACACGAAAACGAAAGAAACATTGCTTAGGTCGACCCCTGATATTGAGAGCAAGGCGAGGCCGCTGGTGTTTGTTGCCCTGTCCGCGCCCCAGGGCCCCCGGGGCTCGGAAAGAATGGGAACCTTGAGATTCTGGCGCTGTATTTCAGGAGGGAAAGAAACACACAGACACAAGTAATCGTCGATTCCCAGGAAAATATAGGAAAATATGGGAAGTGGGGGGGAAGACAAAAACCGATAAAATATGGGAAAATATGGGGAATCCTTTTATTTGTGTGTATTTATTTGTGTGTCCCAGGGCCCCTGCAGTACTTCTGTTCGCAACGGGCGTTTTCGCCTGGCGCGTCGGGCCCCGGGACCCCCCGCAGGCCGATGTGGCTCGGCAAAGGACGCAGAAGTATGGTGTCCTGGGCGCCGGAGTCGTCTCCAGGAGACCTCCTGGAGGTCATCCTGGAGACGCGGCCAGGAGGATTTCAGCACGAACCGTGGACATCGACGGCCCCAGATATCGGCGGCCGTGGCCGCGGGTTGTTCTGCTCGGTTTTTGTTTTTTCTCTCTCTCTCTCTCTCTCTCTTTCTCTCTCGCTCTCTCTCTCTCTGGGCCTCGGGAGGCTCGGGCCCGACGACGGGGGGGATGTGGAAAGGCGGCCGAGGAGGTCTGCTGCATGCGGCGCTGCTTTCGGCTCCGCCGCTGGGCGGCTTTCCTCGATGCAGTGGCGCCTCCCGGCGCCGGGATGCGCTGGGAAAACTGCAGTCGCCATGAGCTGATTCTCGAGCGCCCCCCCCTCTTACCACCCCCACCGCCTTCCGTCCGACCTGAGTGCCCGGGGAAGGGAGCCGAGAGGTCCAGGGACCGCGTGGGCACGCGTGGAGAGATGTTCGCTCGATCCCGTTCAGCTCCAGATCGAGGACCGAGGTTCGGGGTTCGAGGACCAGATCGCTTCCTCGAGGGCCAGGGAGTTTCTGGCCCCGGTCTGGCGTCACCTCCTCGCCGACTTCGTTTGCTGCCGCCGTTTTGCTGCGCGACGTCTCCCAGGGTCGAGGACCCAGGAGTTCGGACGTGGTCGACCATTTGAGTCTGTGGGCCGGCATGGAGGATAGTGCTTTGATGCCGAAGCCAGGACGACGCCCAGGAGACGGAGGGTAATTCTGCGGTTGCGCGTTTGTGGCAGCTGGCGGGGGGGCGAGCGCGAAACGGCACGTGTCGCCGCGCCGCTTGTTCCGACGCGCGGCCTTCCGTATCGAGGAGGGCCCTTCGGCAACCACGGCCAGCGCCGCCTCCGGGCGCCGTGGGCTCGCCGAGGGGCCGTGCCGCGTGGCGGCCTCCTCTGCTCGGGCGCGGAGCGCAGGGCTTGCCGCGGGCTGGCCGTGGCGCCGGCGCCGTCCTCTCGGGCGCGTCGAGCACGAACGGCGCGGCGACGGAACCGCGCCTGCACGCGGGCCGCCCCTCGGAGGCACGCTCGCGCGCGCTCGCACGCCTCGTGGGGCCCTCGACGGGCAGAGGGCCCGAGGACATGGTGCACGTGGTGCCGTACAGCCGGGGGACGATATCCACGGCGATGATGCTGCACCACGCGCTGTGGCTCTGGGCCGTGGCCGTGCGGCGTCCCGGCGACGGTGAGGCCAGGGGGGGAAGGGGGAGGAGGAGACAGGAGGAGGAGGAGGAGGAGGAGGAGGAGGAGGAGGAGGAGGAGGAGGAGGAGAGTGCAAAGCGGCTCTCTTGCGGACACTGTCGGTGAGTTGCATGGCAACCTGGGTGCGTCCCCTGATGTCCTGAAACGAGTCGAGCAGGGACAAAAGTACACCGTTCAGAGCGTTCCAGAACGCTCTGGATCGTGCGCGGCGCGGGATGTATCCTCCAGACCCGCTGGCTTGCAGAGATCCTTGGTTTATCTCCGTATCTTGCTGTTGTGATCTTCTTGCCACTATCACAAAGAGGATCCATGTGGATCGTAGGGCACGCCCGCGTTTGCGCCTCTTTCTATAGATATCCTTGCCCTTGTTCGTTGACCCGTCCCCCGCAGCTTACACCACAGGAATCCAAAGTCATCATCGAGCATCGCTCGACAAACCTTGAGTCCACGTAGCTGTAGGTCAGGGCGGGCAGCGAGCCCATCCAGGAAGCCCTGGTGGCGCCTCGGCGCGCCTTGGTAATCTGGCATTCGTGACTCTAGCACCGCACAGTGGCGACGAATCCTTCTTTAGGTGCCCCTCATAGGCAGCACGGGGGCAGCAATTCGATCGGATACGCGTAAGAGTGACCCTTCGCTGTGAGTGCCGTGTGGAGCGGGCCCACCGAGGTCTCCCGACCGCCGAATGCCATGCGATAGCAGCGGCTTGCGCGCTTGGGTTTCGACCCCCCGCGCCCCCCTGGGAGCAGCGCACCGAAGGTCACCCTTGCCCACTGTCACTTTTGTGTGTAGCCGAATCGGCAGCGTCAAGGTCAACGTGCAGCATCGACCGGGTAAGCTCGGCGACGGCACGGCCAGTCAGAGCGTTCGCACCCTCCTTCGACGAGTGACGTTCCGTACCAGGCTTTGCAGCCGGCGCCCCCGAGAGCCAACACAAACACCTTCGTGTGGCTGCTTCGCCTGGTGCTGCTCCTCCTCGCCAAAGGAACGAGTCAGCATACGGTGCATCACCATCACCACCACCACCACCACCATCATCATCATCATCATCATCATCATCATCATCATCATCATCATCATCATCATCATCATCATCATCACCACCACCATCATCATCATCATCATCACCATCACCAGCATCATGATGATGATCATCATCATCATCAGCATCATCATCACCATCATCACTAGCATCATAATCATCATCAGCAGCATCACCATCACCATCATGATCATCATCGTCAGCATCATCGTCATCATAAGCAGCATCATCAGCATCATCACCGTCGTCGTCATCATCATCACCACAATCATCATCATTGTCATCGTCATCGTCACCGCCATCATCATCATCGTCGTCGTTGTCGTCATCATCACCATCATCATGCTCCTCGCTTCACCCTCACCACCATCACCATCATCATCATCATCATCATCATCATCATCATCATCACCAGCATCATCATCGTCGTCGTCAACGTCACCATCGTCATCGTCATCATCATCATCATCATCATCATTATCATCATCATCATCATCATTGTCATCATCAGCATTATCACCGTCATCATCATCACCATCATCGTCATCTACATCATCGTTGATCTCGAAGGCGTTCGAGAGAGGGGGAGGAGGAGGAGGACGAGGAGGAGGAGGAGGAGGAGAAGGAGGATGAGGAGGAGGAGGAGGAGGACGACGACGACGAGCGAACGATCAGTGAAGGTTTTGTGCTTTTTGTAGTTTGGGGGTGCTGTGTGTGGGGGGGGAGGGGCGACCACACATATATATATATATACACACACAAGACTGCAGTGGCGCTTCGCGCCATGCACCTTGGTCCTTGGAGTTTGGTATGCAGGCGGAAATGGCAGGAAGGTCAAGCCGACAATTTAGCGATAACTCCTTGCTGCCTTTTCTGGCATCGCCGTGATGATAATGTTGTTCGTTGTCCTTCCTCCATGATTATGTTTCCTCATTCTCGCCATACCCTTGGCATTCTCCCCATCCTCCTCAGCTCTTTTTGCGGAGGCTCCTCCTTGGAGAGCCTCTGGGGGCCTCACCAAAGTTCTCAGGCTTTCTTAAAGCCTTATGGAGGCCTCCTGGGTGTGTTCTGGGGGCCTCTGGGGCTTCCTGAGGCCAACCTGCCTCTAACCGCGGTCTCCCTGAACGCCCCAGTCACGATTTGGAATGCTTCGGAGGGTGTCTTGGGGCCATCTTTGGCCGCCATGGTGCTCTCTTAGGGCCATTTTGGACCCCTGTTGTGCCGTTTTGGGGCTCTCTTGGACTGCCTGGTAGCCCTTTCGGATGGTTGTGGGGAGATTTGGGAGCCTCCCAGGCGGCTTCGGACGCCCAGGAGACCGCCGTCTTGGAGCGTCGGGAAGCCGAAAAGAGGAGAACCCCAAATGCACCAAAAACTTACATTGAATCAATGATTTGTCCCTCTTGTTGCCTTCTTGGGGGTGCTCTTGGAGGCCTCCTGGTACGTCTTGGAGCGATCTTTCGGGGTATGACGGCTTCTTGGAGCACTCTTGTGCTGTCTTGGGGGTCTCTGGGACGTCTCCGGTGACCCCCCTGATCGCCCGGGGTGTGCTGCGAATGCTTCGCAAAACGCCCTGCGAGGCCCAGGGGGCCGCTTCGAGGCCCGTCCAGAGGGTCCCAAAGCTGCAGATCCCGGGGGTCCAGTTTTATGGGGGGGGGGGGGGGGACGGGTTTTCCCCCCCGCCTGGGCTTACAAACATATAGGAAGAGGAATATGTACTTCTATATATATATATATATGTATAGATACATATCATATATATCTATATATCTATCTATCTATCTATCTATCTATCTATCTATCTATCTATCTATCTATCTATCTATCTATCTATCTATCTAACTATATATATATATATCTATCTATCGATATATCTATATATCTATCTATCTATCTGTATATATATGTATATATATATATACACACATTGGGCCTTGGAATGGTCTGCGGATTCTCCCGGCCTCGCCCATGAGGGCGTGCGCACCAAGCCTTTTGTTGCCCTGATACGTCAGTTTTGGAGCGCAACGCGTGCCGTGTTCAACACGTCCGTGTTAACACGCTGCGTGTTGGCTCAGCGTGTTGGCCCACGTTTTGGCGAACGCAACGCTCCAAACGTGCGTGTTTGATCTTCGTGATGAGCTCCGTGTCAACAAGATAAAGGTTGAGTATTGCATATTAGGGCAGTTAAGACCCTGCCAGGCCCAGGATGGTCATGGCCAGGCATTGCGGTGGTGTACAAGTGACTTCTGCGCACTGCCAGTCCCTCCCGACCCGCGGGAGGAGGCCGCCGCCAGCCGTCGGACGCGCCTGCTCGGCGAGTGTCTCCCCGCGTGGGCCGAGGGGCTCATGCCGGACGCCCTGGCCTGGACATTTTGGCAGGCTTGCGCCAAAGACGATGCTCCCGATGGGCGCGCCTGGTGATGATCAGCAGAACGTTTGTGAGCCCAATGAGTGCTTGCTCCGTTCAGCTCCGCCGATAGCGTGCAGCCCGTGTTGGCCCTCGTTTGCACCGTCTGCGTCGCATCGAAGGGATCTGGTGGATTGGCGTTAACACACGTTCTGAGGTCTCGACCCTGGCGGGGGTCCTCCCCTGCGTTTTCGCCCAGGCGTCTTTGCCCCATCCGGCCATCCCCAATCAGGCTACGATAGCCATGCTGGGACGATCAAATCACGCAGATGCTGCTCTGTCAGTATCGGGCCCACGTTTCGTCCATTTTCAGGGCTCTACAGAGACAGACTGGCTATTGAAAATGCGCGCGCAAAAAGAACATGGAAGTATTGCCCCAGCCCGTGAGGCGCCCAACAGCGACCCCAAACGCTCAATGTAACACATGTATTTGGCTGTCGAGCCGTTTCCTTTCCTTCCTCCTGGTGGTAAGGTCCTCCCCCCTAAGACCTCCCCATGCATCCCCCGTATCCTCCTCATTCTCCATTCACCCCGCCCTGGCTGAGCCCCCTCACCATTTCACTCGCTGTCTTGACGGCTCTCATACTCCAGTTCCCGCCCCCCCCCACAACCACTCAGACCTTTTTTGGAGCAGGAGGAGGAGGAAGAGAAGGAGGAGGAGGAGGAGGAGGAGAGGGAGGAGGAGGAGGAGGAGGAGGAGGAGGGAGAAGAGGAGGAGGAGGAGGTGGAGGAGGAGGAGGGAGAAGAGGGGGGGAAAGGGGGGGATAGGGGGAAGGCGATAGAGGAGGGGAGGATGAGAAAGGGGAGGAGGATGAGGTGGGAGGAGGCGGGAGGAGGAGAAGGAGGGAGGGAGGGAAGTGAGGAGGGAGGGGCCGATGAGGAGGAAGGAGGAGCAAAGGGAACGGGGAGATGGGGGGGAGGGGAAGGAGGATGTAATGCTTGTGTCTGGGTTTCAAGCGTTTCCAATGGATTCCAGGGAATCCATGAAGGAGGGGGAAGGAGGACGATGGGAGCAAGGAGGGAGGTGGTAGGCGGGAGAAGGGATGCCCTGAAGGCGCCCTCTCCTCTTGTCCTTACTGTTTCCTTCCTCGTCCCCTCCTCCCCTCCTCTTTCCCCCCCTTCCCGCCTGATTCCCCCCTCGTCCCGCCGCAACCCCACCCACCACACACACACACACACACACACTTTTTGGCGGTAGCGGCCTCGCGCACAGCGACGAGGCGGAGAATGCGTACAAACAATGCGCGCGGCTGCCGGGCCCTCGAGCATCATTTAGGATGCGGTCCTACCCGGCACACGGCACACGCACACATTTTTGGCGGTCCCGGCCTCGCGCGCCGCGGCGAAGCGAAGCAAGTCTTTGCTTTGGGAATGGGCGCGCGCGGCCGGGCCCTAAATCGGGACCGCTTTGGGTCGCCGCACATGCCACCCGGGCGGTGGGCAGCGCATAGGGAGCACCACTCGCCAGAGGGCATTCCACGTGGAGGTTCTGGCGCATGGCCAGAGGCATCAGCACATAACCAACCGGGCGAGGTCGGCGGGGAAGAAGCCACCAGCCAGCCGTCACACATACACACACGCACACACAGAGACACACACACACACACGCACACCTATTCACACACACGGACCTCTTATGTTTAATTCCTCGCTTCTCGCCCTCCTCCATAGAAGTGGATTCCCTTCCTTGCCTCGTCCTCCTCCTTCCTTTTATGTGAACAAATTGCCACAGGGCCTGCATAATTGACCTCACGACGTAACGGTCTGGACGACGGCACTTGTAGATAGTAGCATGGCTTGTCACACACTTGTCCTCCCCAGCGTATGCTCATTAGCAGTGGACACGTCAAGACCGAAACTGGCCACAACAAAGTGTGCCTCTTTTTCTTCGCAATCTTCTCGCGCCCGGAGGCTTCCAGGGGCTTTCGGAGCACCACAGCACTGGTTGGTACCTGTGGATCTCCAACTGTTCGTCTGGACTGCCTGACGCCCCAAAACGGGCGCGACTGGCTTACACTATTATTGCACGCTTGCGCACCGCAGCAGCAGCAGAGAGCACGATGCAAATGTCACGGAGTTGGTGCGTGATCCCCGGGACGGATGAGGGTCCGTTGGCCAGCTTAAAGCATATCCCAATCCCTATCTTTGGCACCACCTTACCTTGGTGCCCATGTTCAGGATTCCCTCAATTCTGATGCGCACATCCCTAAGAGTTTCATCGCCTCGGGCTTGCCGACCTGAGGGATAGGGATCAGTTCGAGGCTGGCTATACGTACCCATATCTGCTGAAGACTCACCCAAGTTTGCCGAGAACGCCGAACACCTCCTCACACGCGTATTCAAAACGCCACACCCAGACTATAGCTAAAACAGCAGAGAGACTACTGAAACAACCTTGAATGGCAGGGCCGAGCGCAGATCCGAATGGGGAAGGATTGCACGTCCCTTGCCCTGGAATGCCAGAGCAGAATGGTGGACACATTTGGGAGTCGGGCGCGTGCGACCAGCTGGTCCCCGACTCCCAGAACAAGGGACGCTCTCCCAGCAACGCCCAACGCATGGCCACCGAGCACGAGGAGCATCCAGCTGCAAGGCTTCCCCCCGCAAGTCCGAGGAACCGGATGACAGCAGTTACCGCAACAATGACGACAACAACAAACACGCAAACACAGGTCCAGGTGACGGAGTAGATCGTGATCGTGGTCCGGCAGCTTACGCACCCTTAAACCAACTGCAGTTGGAGACCCGCGAAGCAGAGCTCTCACAGTTTGCTTCGGGCCTCGCGGAGGAGAGGAGCCGCCTGGAACAACAGAGGGCGATCTTCATGGCAGAGGTGGGCGCCGCCCAAGAGTGTTACGTCGAGTGGCGCGACGAGCTTGGACAGCATGCCCAGATCTTGTCGGCCAAGCAGCTGCGCGTGGAAGAGAGCGCTCGTTGCACCCAGCGTCTCCGCACCGAGCTTGGGCAGAGGCCGCCCGGGCCGCCGAGACGCAGCGGACAACCGAGCGGCGGAAGTTGTCCGAGGAGGCCGGGGAAGCGTGCGAGAGCGTGCAGAGCCAGACGAAAAAGCTCGCCAACGAACGTGGACACATCTTCGAGGCCCACCAGGACGCACAGAACGAACGACGGAGCATTGCCGACGAGAGCGCACGCCTCCACCAGGCCCAGCAACTCGCACGGAACGACCGGCGCACATTCGCCGAGGAATGCGGATGAGTCCAGCACGACGGCCACAGGATCGCCGAGGAGATCGACCAGCAAGCGAATACAGAGCATAATGGAGGAGGATCACACGTCTTTTGCTTTGTCATCCCAGAGCAGAACGGTGGACAGGGGGGCACCGACGGCCAACCGCGACCGCGCGTTGAAGGTGCTGGAGGCCCTCGTTGGTCACCAGCGATCGTTCTGCCCGCCGCTGGGGGGCGGAGGTGCCGTGGCGTACAATCGCTGGCTTAGTGGGGGCCGTACCCTTGATGTGCATGATACTCTTTGCTGCTGACTTCATGGCCCTCCTCTTCCTCGCCGTCGCGCTGGCGAACGCCTGCGTCAGCTTGTTGCCTCGCCTCGCATGGCAACGTACCTGGCGACTGCCTTGGAAGGTCCTTCCACGATTTCGAGAGTCCAAAGTGTCCTTCCAGCCAAGATGAAGCTTCCTGGAGGTTTGGTTCGTCGTGGCTTCGTCTGGGTAGGACCCACGCGTGTCAAAATAGTTTCCGACGCTGGCCGCACACGCAACCCAATCGATCTGGACTTCCTTTGGTGGCTGATCCAGGAGCCGACTGCGTCGATGCAATTAGTGGAGGTGTTCTGCAATGAGCTTGTATTGTGGCAGGATGCTCGAGAACCCCACGTTCACTCTCAAGAAGTTGGCCTCCTTCCTTGACATCGCGTTTAAGTTGGGCCGTTGACGGAGGGGTTCACGAAACACTTGGGCTTCGTAGTCATCAGCGGGAGGGTGCCCCTTTGCGTCCCCCACAACGAGGGCATCACTCCCCGCGCCCTCGGTTTGCAGCTCGCCGCCGCGCTGGGCAGCGACGGCTCCGAGCACGTTCTTAACCTTCTTTGCGCAACGATGGCATGGCTTGAGTCTGGCGGTGGCTCTCCGCAGGCGCGCGCGCTGTGACTCCTTGTTCCCGCGGGGCCCAAGAGTGGCCGCGGGCAGTTTCAGGCAGATCCTGGACTCCCTGTGGGGGTCGAGCTCTCCGTGGGCCCGCGGGCGGCCACGGGCAGCAGGGCGGCGAAACTTTCCGGGCATCGGGGGCGGCGCCGCGCAGGCCCGGCGGCGCGTCTCGGACGAGATCGCGCAGCCGATTTCAAGCTCCTGGCCGCGATCAGGTCGGCCGAGGCGGAGCAGCGCGATCACGCGAGGGAGACGCTTGAGCGGTGCCGGGCGGAAGCCGAGGCGGCCGCGAGTCAAACGTCGGCGACGCGATTTCCGGGGCTTTCTTCGGTCCCAGCGCAAAGAAAAAATTCCCCAAGGCGAGAATTGAGGCGCTCTTCTCGGACCTGGAGAGGGGGATCAAAGATTCGCGCAAGTCCCTAGACCGGCCCTTGAACAGGCCGGGCCAGAACAGAGAGGATTCCTATAACTAGGCGAGGCCAGACGAAGACGCAGCAGTCTTCTTGCATCATTCGCGCCTGGCGGCTCTTCTCGGCGCGCCTGTGGACGGAGGGATGCGAGCCCCCCTGCGTCGAGGGGCTCGCGGCGCACGTCGAGCCCACACCTCGCGCGGCGCCTGGGGCCCAGCGGCCCCCGCACTTCATTTCGCGGGATGAGCTTCGATTTGGATCCACGAAGACGTCGAAGTCGCTGGGGCCAGAGGCGAATTGGCGCTGTCAGGCCTCGCTGACCGCCGGGGTAGCCCCAACTTCGTCGTTGGCCCGCGCGCAGAAGGGGCCCTTGGGACCTGAGGCGACCTGTCCAGGACTATCGCTATGCAAATTCGCAGACAGCGGACGCACCCTGGCCGAG